GCGTATTTGAACAAGGACCGCAATGAGAAGGCAGAGACCACTCTACAGGCGAGGAACCAACGGAACAACTAGAACGCGATCAGGTACATAGAAGACATGTCGCGGCTTTTTCACCGAGCCCCCTCGAACATGGCCGAGGAAACGAAGTCGTGGCACCTAATGCGCTGAATAATGAAATTGATTGTTGCAGACCTTGTGAGTAATCTGCCACGCACTGTCGCAGAATTCGGATAGAAGGCAATGTCCATGGAGTGGACACTGCGACAGTGTGCGCCTCTGTCTACGAGACACTAATTAGGTGATCTAGGCATGACTAAAGGCCAAAGTGCGCGAAGAATTGCGAAGAATGTTGTGGCCCACCCACCCTCAAGCGGCCTTGATAGGTAATATTGTCCGAGAAGAACACCAGCAGACGCTTTGCAACTATGAATCGTTAGAGCCTCAGCCGTAAAAATAAGCAGGTTGTAGAGCTACGCTGTTGCAGCTTGACGCTGCACTCTCCTTCCGTTCTCGCGTGAATTCATCTCACCGCAGTAATTCTGCCGCCAAGCAACAGTGCCACCCCTCCCTCCGCTACAATGTCGCACCCGGCTGTCAACCCTAGCAAGAAACCGAGAAAAAATGACGTTTGGCGTGCCCATCACGACAACTGCCTACTCTATAACCAATGCTGAGAAGTTATTCACACGTACAGCCGAAGTGGGTACCTTGAAATGGTCCGCAGCCAGGTGAGTGACATTGCGACATCACCGACTCATTATCACCGGAGCAGAGTGATAACGAGGACGACCATCCGTTAACCGTCGCCGGCCGCTACATCTCTCTTCACTACCAACAGTACAGTGGATAATTCGGGGCCGGTCACCTATAGCCCATACTCGGAAAACTAAGGCCAGCAACGGGTGGAGAAGCGGTTGCCGTACGACAAAGCACCGAAGATTCTGTGCTGCCGCCGACACCACGAACCAACACAGAACACGTTGCAGCCCTGGCGGAGCACTGATGTCGAAACTTCCGAGGTGAAGAAAACCTGAAGACGCAACTTTGAAGCAGCGGAACAAAGACGAAGTCGCTGTCATCCGATGCTGCGACCCAACCGTAACGCCAATAGACAATGGCGCTGACTATTCTATCATCAGTGAGCCATTCAACGGGATGTGGAAGAAAAGACTGCTTGGCAAGGCCCCGAAATCCGGCCTACTAGAGGCTATATAATAATGCCAGCTGTAGTTCGCACAGGAAGAATAAACATAAATAACCGGAGTAACTTCGTGAGCTTTGTAGTCCTACAACATTGCTCCAGGAATTTGATACTTGCGATAGACTTCTAAGTCACCATGGCACCGTCGTCGGTCTGAGGGGTGAGTCGCTAACGCTGGCCCAACTCTCGGAGAGGCATCGCCGAGCTGCGTAATCGCAAAGCGAAGAAGTGCTGATAAACTTCGAACAACAATAGTAAATAGGCACCTCAGCGTTGATACGATGGTCATCTACTTTGAAGAATTTCTGAACGCAAGCAATGCCGCCGCCCTCTTTGATGCTACGGAATATGCTTCTTCGATAAATAGAGCATCCCAAGCAGCTTTCGACGTCAACCCTCCCCCCCTCCCCCCCTCCCCCGAAGTACAAGCAAGACCACCTTGAATCACTGCTTCTGCAATTGCAGAACTGCTTCTTGTCATTTTAAAGAATTTGACAGAACGCAATCGCAAAACCTCGCTTGAATACAGAAAAATTGCCCGACATATTACACAGAGCCCGTACCGAGTTCCGACGCGCAAACGCGAGGCGATGAAAAACAAGTCTACGAGATTGTACGCGACCTCATCACTCAGCAATCCAAGAGTTCCTGGGCGTCTTCCGTAGTGTCGGTAAAGAAGAAAGATGGAACCTTGAGTTCTTGCTTTGATTAATATCGCCACGGAAGAAAATGTCACGAAAAACGACGTGTAACCTCTTTCGCGAAAAGGCGACGCAATTGGATAGGCTCCACAACGTGAACTAGTTTTCTTCAATGTACCTCAAGACCAGATATTGGCGAATCGACCTTGACAAGAAAGCTCCAGAGAAGACTGCCTTTATCACAAAAGACAGCCTCTTCGAGTTCAACGTTATACCATGCAATTGGTCTTTGCTCGGCGTATGCGACGTACTAGCGTGCTATAGATACCGTGCTAAGTGGTACGCTTTTCTCGAGTACTTAAAAGACGTGGCTGTTTGCCTCGAGCTTAGACAAGTGCCTCCGGCGCCTTGAAGTCATTCTTCCAGCAATCAAGACTTTCGTACTCACCCTGGTTTTCGGACTTAGCCACAAACAGAAAAGTGCTGCTCTCCATGTCAGGAGCTTTCGTTTTGAGTCACGTGATTAGCAAGTATGAAGCTCGCCCTATGCAAACAGTGGCTCTGTGGAAACAGCGGCCATTGCTGTTATTCCGACACCCACCGTGAAGCAGGCCATTGACATAGATCTAAGTTTGTGCGCTTATTAAACGCTTCTTCAAATGGTTTTCACTGGTCCGGGAGTAACCAACCAGTGACATCAATCTTCTTGCTGAATGGCAGTCTTTTAAAAAACTTCTCGACACTTCAAGGCAACAACCTCTTTGTAGTGCCTTCAGCATTGCATTCAGAAGTTTCAGACGCTCTACATGATGATCTGACGACTGGAAGCCTTGGATTTAGTAAAGATACAAGAAAATTACTACTGGCCTCGCCTAGTCACACATCCTCGATAATCAGGGGGGCCCAGGCAGGCAGACTAGGCGGTTGCTGTATGCCTCAGTAAAGAAAAGGAGGAGGGGGTGGCATGAATGTGGCATGTCACCTCTTGGCTACGTAAATAGTCATTAGCTCCTCACATCTTGAAGAAACTGGAAAAACAGTGCCTCTCCACGTAAGAAAACTGTATGACTATATACATTCACATAGTTAAAATGCCTTTATTTGCCGTCCCAAGCTCAGCAAGTGCCGCAATTTTAAATTGGAGACATTAGCATAACCTCAACAGCTGAAAAATTAGAAACCGTACAGCATCGTGTGCCTCGAAAATGAATTGGTTCTGCGTAAGTTTGTATATTTCAGTTCTCCCCGTTAGAAAAATTAGCAGATCCCACGTACCGAGGGAATCGATGATATGCGAAGCACGAATGAGAAATGTTGATATGTCACTTTAAAATCAGCGAAACGTTATGAGGTGGAGGTAAATGATGCCGTACATGACTACCATGTCATAATCATTGCGCATGGATGTGTCGTTGACCCGCCGCAGTGGTCTAGTGGCTAAGGTACTCGGCTGCTGACCCGCAGGTCGCGGGTTCGATTCCCGGCTGCGGCGGCTGCATTTCCGATGGAGGCGGAAATGTTGTAGGCCCGTGTACTCAGATTTGGGTGCACGTTAAAGAACCCCAGGTGGTCGAAATTTCCGGAGCCCTCCACTACGGCGTCTCTCATAATCAAATGGTGGTTTTGGGACGTTAAACCCCACAAATAAATCATATGGATGTGTCGTTTACCTTCGTCATTTATTCACGTCACGTGATACCAAACTTAGTATATTTAGAGCTAGCGAAACGGCGACGAGCACGCTGTGAGCGTAGTAGTTTGTCATGTTCTTACATGACACGCGTGTCAGAATTATGTTTGCACCAGTCATATATTTTGCCATCCATTGACGTCACGTAACACCAAACTTAGTATATGTGGAGCTAGCAAAATGGCCGCGAGCACATCAGGAAGGGCCCAAAATACTCCAATGTATACCGTTGGCGTGCGTGCACGCTGGGCACAGAGACGCTACGTTAGCAAAACGCGAGCACTCTATAGTCCGACGCCAGGCGCGACCAGCGTCCGTCGGCGCGACCCGATGGCAACCGGCGTGAAATGTGACACGCTGCATTTCGCGCCGATGCGTTACCCAGACGACACTGCGTCTCTCTCTATTCGTGACGGAGGGACGCCGGATGCGCTGAAACGCGCATGCGTCAAAGCAACGCAGCGTGGCGCACGCCTGCGAGTATATGACAGGACCGGCGTGACGTGATGATATGAACGCTGGTGAGCACCCGCACCACATCACGTTGAAATCGATTGGCGCCTTGACTGTGGCATGTAGTCTGGGTCTCACATGACGCGCATCTCATAATTGTAAGGTTTGCACCAGTCACATACCTTCGTCAATCAATGGCATCACGTAATACCAAATTTGACCTATGTGAAGCTAGTGAAATGGCCGCCAGCGCATCATCAGTGTGGCTTGTAGTCATGTTGTTACATGACACGCATGTCGTGATAATTATGTTTGCATGTGTCATTTACCTATGTCGTCCGTTCGCGTCCCGTATTACTGAGTTTGGTACATGTAAAGCTAGAAAAACGGCGGCGAGCGCATCATGAGAGTGGTATGTGGTCATGTTGTTACATGATGCGCATCTCATGTTTGTCGTGTTTGCACCAGTATCACGCCTTCGTCATCCATTCACGTCCCGTAATACCAAGTTTGTAATAGATAAAGCTAGCGAAACGACTGCCAGCGCTTCATGAGCGTGGCATGTAGTCATGTTGTTAAATGACACGCATGTCATAATTTTCATGTTAGGGTCTGTCGTTTGTGTTCGCCATGCAATCATGCCATACCATACCCGTTTTGCAGCATGCCATGTGAACGAAACCACCAAAAAAGCTGCAGAACTTTCAAATGCAAATCATGATATTCATGACACACATGTTATGATTCTCATGTTATGACTAGTTAAATATGTTTTTATTAAAGTCATGTAATGCCACACCAATTTTGGTAGCGATGTCACTATCGAAACGGCCAGGAGAGCTAAAAGTCGTAGGCGACTAGACAGAGAGATACGCTCAAAGTCGCCGAAGTTCGCTAAGAATTGCTTCGCATTTAAAAGCTGAAATGTTGGCGAGCTTGTGAAATTTGAACTAGAAACTCTGGTTGCTCAACTGGGCATAAGACTTGGCATGATTCACGTTACGTATGTACTCACTAGCCGGTGCCGTGTGTGGATGTCATGGCTGATCACAATGCGGTCAGTGAGGCCTTCATCCACGAGTTGTTTTAGCTGGTCCAGCCTCTGGGCATCGCTGGGCATGCTGAAGGACGGTGCAGGTTGGTAGTGCGACGTTTCCAAGCCGAACAAATCATGCTCACAGTAGCTTCCATACGACTGCGCAAATTCAACGAGTGAATCCGCATCCAAGAATGTCCCTGTAAATGAACACACCGTGTCTAGATATCGTGGCGAACGAAATATTGCACTTCACACTAGTCATGTATTCTTCTCAATGATAAAGTTTGGACCTGCCTTCTCAAACTTTTATTATATTGAGTGGTTTTTCTTTATTACTTCTTTCGGTACGTTTACCATTTTCATACGCACGCTTTGCGCTTTCTTAACACGTTTTGTTGAGAAGACTGCACATTTCATACAAAACTACAGCGCTAATTACTCAACAATTAAAAACACATGGCCAACGGGTGATAAATTAAAAAAAAGCGGCACACGTAGATGTCTATATGCAACAGACTTTCTTGTACGTACCTGAATATCTGCAGCCGTCAAAGATTTAACGTTCGTCATGGGTTTTCTGTACACTGGGTGCTGCCGGTGGGCTTTTAGAAAGCTCACTTAGGTGATTAAACAGGAGAGTATACTCATCAAACGTTCTGCAAGTGGCCTCACAAAGAGCGCAGTGCAGCACTCTCAGCTTCTGATGTCCTTTCCGAATTGTTCTTTTGTGACGCTAATGGGACCGAGAATCCACTTTTTATGCAATTTTTTTAGTGGGACAATAAGCTTACCTGTCAGTGAGTCTAATCACGCCGAATGACCAACGCCAGGAAACATTTGTATTGAAAACGTTTTGATCTACAGCGAATACGAAGTCGTATACCGTCATGCTGCAAACAGTGAGCGCGAGTGTTCGAACGTGGTTTACTGCGCATGTGTGCCCCCCGCCGCCATTGCTCTACTCGGGCTGCCAGCAGCGTGATGGGAGCGCCACTTATCACCATTCAAGCTCTTTACGTTCCTGGCACACATAATTGAGTGGAGCTGGATATACATACTGCATATTTGAGGACTGGCGCACATGACGGCATCAGGCTACGCGACTACGTACAGGAAAGCGATACACTCTATATCTCATATTCCAGCTTCAAGTTTCTTCCGCAAATTTAACAGTGACACATGATGGTTTGTGTTGCTTTTAAGTACGATGTGAAAATGTGAACCATACTCGCAACACACACAAAAAAAGCTGGAATGTGAGACAATTTTATGGTCTACTAAAATCGCATCTTCTCGCCAACTAACTGCTTAAACAAGCATGCACCATACATGCCTACCAATGTTGCGCGCGTAGTGGTCTACGTGAAAATGAGGCATTTGATTTAATATTTACGCAAAGTAATTAATGGTTTACTCCCGCGTGCGCTATAGCACTATTATCTATGTCCCGGTCAGTAGAGGTGTCTCTTATAAAACAATGTCGGTAGCAAAGTGCGCATTTATCAAATTTCAACGTGTACGTGTACACTCTTGGCAACGCAAAGAACGATTAGATATGCTCTGGTTAATTCAGCGGCCCGTCTGCATTACATAGAGCCCCACCGACGTGGTCTAGTGGCTAACCCCCAGGTCGCGGGATCGAGTCCCGGCCGCGGAGGCAGCATTTTCGATGGAGGCGGAAAAGCTGTATGCCCGTGCGCTCACATTTGGGTGCACGTTAAAAACCCCAGGTGGTTGAAATTTTTGGAGCCCTCCACTACGGCGTTTTTCATAATCATGTGGTGGTTTTGGGACATTAAACCCCACATATCTATCTATCTGTATTACGTAGAAGCAGCCATAGCTGGAACGGTCTTTATATGATAATACACTTCCAGTGCAATCAGTAAAGTTGTTGGAGTTTACGGAATAAATATTGGTTTGATTCTTGTGTCTCACGTTTTTTCTCTGCACCACGGCACAAATCATATGACAGCCGGAAAAAACAATAATAACACCGTACCTACTTCTTACTTTAATCAGCTTGCAAGATACGCAAAAAATGTACGGTGTACCTACGACAAGTTGTCCTATTCTTTTCCGCAACCTTGCTCAGGCCTCACATGGCAAATTTCCATAAACGTTCTCCGACAGTGGCGACTGCCACAACAGAATAACCAACATCTAAAAGACGCGTAACGTGTGTCCTAAAGCTATCACTCAATTTTTGCGCACACGACTTCATGAGAGCCGACTTTGAGGCAAGACATGGCTGTACCGTTGTTTACAACTTTCGACTGCTTCGAATAGAAATTTAACAGCGATTTGAACGATCTTGGAGACTACTGCCAGCAAACGCAATTTTTTTTTTTTGAAACGATAAAGCAATGCGTAAAAAAGGCCTTTCACCGTTGTGAGGCACTGGCGTAGCCAGGGGGCGACACACTGGGCTCGTGCTGCCACCTCCCCCCCCCCTCTATTTTTTTTCACCATGGCATACAGAAAGCGAAAAATTACTATTTCAAAAAGGTGACCCTCCGCCCCCCCCCCCCCCGTTCTTCAGAATTGAAGGTGGTGTTCTTTCCTCAAGAAAAATCTGCCTGCGCCCCTCTTCTGAAGGAATTCCCTACTAAAGTTCATTCTTCCTCCATTTAACTCAAAATTTCTCACTAACAGAGGCTACCACAGCTTCAAGGTCCTCACCACTACGCAACATAATAATCATCTGCAAAACGAACTACGTTAATATTAGAATTACCTAAGATATGTATGTGGGCTATAATGACCTAAAACCACCACACGTTTATGAGGGACGCCGTTGTGAAGGGCTCCAAAAATTTCGACCACCCGGGGTCTTTCAACGTGCACCCAAATCTAAGCACACGTGCCTACAGCATTTTCGCCTTCATTGAAAACGCAGCTATCACAGCGTGGATTCGAACCGATGACCTGCGCGTAAGTTTTTGGGGTGCTTTTCTAACGTTTGTCTCAACGTGAACTGGTGTGCGCAAATAAATACAAGGACACAGAAAAGATGGGTCAGAGAAAAGCGCGAACATTCAACTGAATTTTATTATTCATCTCCCTTGAAATATATACTCACAAAAGAACATATTCACGTGGTCACATGGTCAATACCAAACAGTTTGCAAGAAGCCGCGCAGAAAATTGCACTTACTATCAAATAGAAAACCTGACAGGTCGCTAACATATGCAGTGTCTCTTGCAGGGACATAAAAGCTTCCATCAGTTCGCGGGATTGGTGTAAATTTGAAGGTTGGCGAGTAATATAAATAACAATGTTAATAGGCTAGTTGGTGCATCGCTCGAGAAAAAAATTATGGCCAATAAATTGACGACACAGAAAACGAAGAATGAGACAGGAATTTTTTAGGCAAGTTTGCGCTTGTCCCTGTGTCTTCTTTTCTGTGTCCGTGACTTTTTTCGCCCACCAGTTTACCTTGAAATTTGAACTAACTCGACCAGCTGCGAGGTTTACTAACGCTTGCCAATATTTTGAAGGTATTGATCACCAAGAACTGAACCTAGCTGAGGATCTATACATAATCCTGATTTTGTGCACGTGAACACCTTCTATCCAAGCTACGGGGTCGACATTAGGCACATGAAAAGAATTCCTAGGAAACACTGATAAAAATGCCGCATTAATCATTCATAGACATCTCGTGCCTTTGTGAATGCAGTCATTAGCACATTTTAACAAGTCCTCATGCCGGAAAGAGTAATAGAGGTATTCAATATTCATACTAAACTTTTTACAGCTGCCGGGGTTCTCTGCTGAGAGAGACTTAACTAGCGCCTAAAAATCGCGCATAAGAAAAGGGTCTGAAAAAAAAAAGGAAAACTCAAGGAGGTTCAGCAGTTTTGGGATTGACTCGGTACAACGAGTTTTCGCATACAACAGTTCACAAAGGAATCTCGTTCTTATCTGTTTTAGCTGAGGACAACAAGTCTAAGGTGTAAGATTCAGCCTTCTTCACGCTACAAGCTATTCTCTCAAGAAGGGGAGAAGTCTTTATTGGGAAAAGCAGAATTTTGTCGACATAGGCAAACCGTTGGCTTGCTGCTCTGCGTGGAGAAGGGAATGGGGATTGCAAGTAAGAATAGAAAAAAAAACAGCATGTTAACAGAGAAGATAGAATAAAAAAGGAAGAAAAAAAAAAGGCCACATTTCTTGACCATTAGATGGGAAGTGCGTTAATAGACTTTCCGTTGTGTTAAGGTACAGCTAGTGTTTGTGTATGTGATCAATACTGTTTAAGTGCATGAACAAAAGTTTGATAGCACGCCTCTGTAGCATAAGGCAGGCTAAAGGTCCCAATGCATAGTGAAGTGTGAAATTTCTTTGTGGTATGGAATTCATCCAATGCCCAGAGCGCACGCTTCTCTCGAGGTCTCCTCTGCTGTTCTCAGAAGGTTATCGTTTCACAAGATTTCATGCGTTCTTTCTTGGGAAAAGGTGAAAACTGCGCTAAATAGACGAGACAAACGAAAAAACACACCGTCTATTTAGCGCTGTCTTTCTTTTTGTAATGAGTGACCAACTCTGAGATACAAAGTACACTTCTGGTATTCATTTCTGCTTTCTAATTCACCATTGTTCACATCTTCAGATGTTAGTTTGGGGTGTCCTGGCTTCCTTTTTTTGTTCGTGCTTGCAATTCCTGTCTGTTTGAATGAATATGTACCAAGAATGAGCGACTGGCCACAAATTTTGAAGTAGGAACAAAATTTCACTTAAGAAACAGCGTGGCCTCACTTTCTAAGTGTGACATAACAGTGTGGCGTAGCTTTCCGCCAGCCTCGGCAAAAATCCTGGCTATCTCGCCGGGCGCTTCTGGACTCCGGCCAGGATGGATGATGACTGGACAGCCGGTGGACTGTTGCACTAATGCAGCCGCACGTAGCACACGCACTTCGAACTCTGCAAAGAGTTGTACGCAAACCGTGAAAAATTCATCGTTGCGTATGTTTCGCACTAGGACTCAGCATTTATTGTCACGTAGGCTGACATTATTTAAGCATGACTGAAATCTTGCTACACTTTTTCTTCATAATGTTGCGAGTGGAAAACGCCAGTAGGAACTTGAAGCGAAAGGCTGTTCACTCGGCCACAGCGGCCACTAACTTCAACACTGTCTTCTTCTGCTACCACCACAGCCATAAGCCCCCCCCCCCCCCCCCACACACAAAAGCCTCGTATGAATGCCACGGCAAAACAAAACAGTGAAAGCTTTATCCAAAATGTTTGTGTCTGTTTAAAAGCACTAGGGCGAGTTAAAAGAAACGAGACAATTCTACAATACTTCTGAAGGCAAGTTCCACATCACAAAGTTCGTGACTAGCAGTCAAAGCGAGTGCTATGGCTTAATCCGGGAGAGACGAAGAACATCGGAAGAGCGTAGCCTACGAGAGCGGTGCGACGTGGCTGCTGGGACACTTTAGTGGTTGCCTTCCCCGTGGCAATGAAAAACTCTGTGGAGTCAAAAGTACCAACTTGGCAGTTTCTCAGTGCGCCCTCGTGAACGTATAGGCGTCCAAACCCAAACTTGGTCACCCAGTTCGTATGCTACAGCTCTGTGATAGGTGTTGTACTGGCAGCCATCTTGACTTTGGCGCGATAAAATGCGTAAGCGCACAACTTTCCGGGGTTCTTTGGTACGCTTAACAAATACATCTGCATCAGGAGTAGTCAAGCGCGACGGAGTTGGTCGCAGCATGATGTCAAGCTTTGTGGGGATGTCGCGGCTGTAAACAAGACTAAAACAAGCAAAGCCTGTGGTTTCCTGAAGAACCGCATTATAGGCAAATGTGATAAACGTGAGAAATTATCCAAATTCTTGTTATACTTGGCGACATACATGAAAAGCAAATCAGCAAACGTTTTGTGAAGCTGTTCTGTTAACCCGTCGGTCTGCTGGGACATTCAGTTGCTGTTCGGTGTGGCACGTCACTCAGCCGCCGGATATCTTGGAGCAATTGCGCCCTAAATGCAGACCAGGACCTGTGATAACGACAATTGGTGTACTGTGGCGGTGAACGATGTTCTTGACAAAAACGTTTGCCACATCGGCAGGAATTACTCGCTGAACGGCTTCGGTTTCGCAGTATACAGTCAAGTAGTCGGTGGCGAAAACAATTCAATGGTTATCAGCAGTAGACTTCAGAAACGGATCCAATGATTTCATCCCAATATTTTCATAAAGTACGTGAGGGGGGCGTGCAGGCTCAAGCAGACTGACTAGTTCCATCAGTGGGATTTCGCGGCGTTGGCAAGCTGCGCAAGTCTTGACGTACTGCATGACAATTTTCGTAAGTTACGCCAAATTATTCCTGCTTGATTGTTGCCAGAGTACGATTGAAGCCAAAATGCCCTGACAATGGCTCGTCGTGGCAAGCACGCGAAATGTCATCGCGGAGAGCATCAGGGATGACTAAGAAAACAGTTTTCGTGGGATGAAAGTTGCACCTGTAAAGGACATCTCGGCATAGACAAAAAGATGGCAAGCCACGCACAAACCGACGTGGTGGTTGTGAGCGAAGTCCCTCAAGGTATTCAGTCAGTGGTTGCAGTTTCAAGTCTTAGTTTTGCTGCTTAGCCACGTTTAATGTCGCTAGAATAGCAATGCAGCTGAAGTCTTCAATCTTGTCTTGTGCAATGGTCTCGACGGGTGAGCGAGACAGACAGTCGGCGTTAGCCTGTTTCTGACGAGACTTGTACACTCTAAGGCAAAAGTATGTTAAAGGGGTGTTTGGTTCGTCTTTTTGGGGACTAATGAGGCTGCCACAACCACTAATCTCTTTTAGGAATAACGGAACCGAGTCTAACAGTTAGTTCCCACAGGCCAGCTCAAGGAACTACCATTTAGTCCTCACACTTACACCTAGGTGAGTAACCATTGGTCTCACAATTCACCTCAAACTATTAACAATTATCCTCACATTTGAACCTTATAAGATAACTGTTAATCCTCACATTTACACCTTACTGTACAACCGTTAGTCCTTACAGTTGCACCTCTGTCAAAAAACGGTTGATCCACTCAAATACTCTAATCGGATGAACTTTTTATCCCCATTTGAAACATTGTTTTTAATTTATTTTCCGCCTCGCCATATACTGTTTTCGCCTCTTATTCTTCGCAGTGAGCAACAAATACTGTCGAAAAGAACAGGCGAAAAAGCAGTTAGAAACATATGTGTAACTGCTTTCGCAGTCACGGCAACAACGAAACACATAAGTAAGACATCAATTTTTTTTTATTTTTCTACATACACATGAAGATTCTCAATTCTTTGAAGTGGAACCACGATGAAGTGTACAAGTCCAGTCTCGTTGTCACAACTTGTTCACTCATTGTGGAGCTCCTCCGACGGAAGCGACAGATGACAGGCATTGCAGTCTCCAGCACACGCAGCCTTCTGCCTGTTGTATTCCTACGGCTGTCCGTGCAGTAAGATTGTAAATATAGTAAGGCGCACGTGACAGAAGATGAAGATGCACACATATGACAAGTACGTGCAACTTAATATAAAAACATGCGCGTAATTATGACACAAAATATTTTCCTTTCACATCTCGTACAGTCCTTCTGAAGTTGCTCTGACGAAAGAGATGGATAACAGGCATGGCAGATGCCAGCGCACACAGCCTTCAGAATGGTGTGTGTCCACTGCTGCATAATAAGTATGTAAAATAGTGAGTCACACGTGACAGAGGATGAATACGAATGCATATGAGAAATACGTGAAATGTAAAATAAAAACGTACGTGAGATATCACATGCTAATAATTTCACCGTGATGTCACACAAGGTCAAACACTCATTTCGATCCCCGTAGCGCAACAGCTCAGAACAGAGGCCGCAGCCACAACTCTGCGAGCTACAGTGCCGCCACAAAGTCGGCGAGTTCTAAGCGAGCGACGTCGTTCAGCTCGAGAAAGCGAACGCGAGACCAAACATGGTGTTGCACGCGGAGTGTCTGCCGCCAGCGAACTTCCAACAGGAGAGCGAGCATACGCTTGGCTGCCACCACGAACAGCGCCGAGCTGGTTTGCAGCTAGTGCCAAAGAAATCGACGGTAATGCGGCTCTTTTTCACAAACTCGAGCAAGTGCGAGTGCAGCGTGCGAACGCGAGTCTACCGCCGTGGCCAAAGGACGGCGCCGAGCTGCTTTCGACTGACAGACGGGCAAGCCAATTGTAATGGTGACCAATTTTCACTGAGTTCCGACACTAGCGAAATCCCTGCCAGCCCGTGCTAGTGCACCTACAGCGCGCGACATACAACAACCAAGCGTGTTACGAGAACCCATAACGTGTTTTCGACGACTAGCAACACAGCGACGAGGTCTCAGCCCAATATCGTGAGCCCGGAGCTCATCGCGGCGGCGAAGACAAGCGAGCACTCGATGAGCGAGCGTACGGGAGGCGGACGGTGGCGGCCAATTGCCAGGTGGTCGCGAAGCACAGGTGAACTGCAGACGCCCAAGCTGACCTTCACGGTGCATTTTGTGCGTGCGATATACAAGACCACCGAGCCACTTGCCGGCAAGCGCAATCCGTATCGCACACGCGACAAGTAGAGTAGAAAAATGGGCCCCGTATTTGCATGTAATCTGCAAATGTCGTCGAAAGACGATATTATTGCGTGTTGAGAGATAATAAAACGTTTATTGGATGTTCTGCGCAAGAAAATCGGTGAATGGTATTCCGGAGGCGCTGCGTTAAGGCTGGTGCTCACCGGCGACTAGAAGTGGTCGCGCCACCCTTCGCGACTGGTCGCATAGAGTCGCGAATGGGCGCAGGCGGTCGCAAAGGGACTGCTTTGGCTAGTCACTGCCTGACCAATTTTTCAGTCGCGCGACTGTGGGCGCAAAGCAGCTGGAACCAATCACCGGTGATCAATTTTTGTTTGTTTTTTCAATGCGCTTGGGATAACGAATAAAAACAAGAAGTGTGGCGCGCTCGGTTAGCTCCGCTCACTCAGCTGGCAGTGATCAGCTGATCGGCGCAGAGTTTTCACTGATAACGAGCTCCGGACGTGACTCTCTGCATTTGCGACTCCCGATTGCTCACATGGAGCCTCTGCTGGTGTGAACATCAGTCGCTTTTTGGTCACAGTCAAAAATGTTCGCGCAACCGCTGCTAGTCACCGGTGTGAACCAGCCTATAGAGTGCCTCGAGCGTGCAGCGGAGGTGAACGAGCGCATCAAGTCACGTCACTCGTAAGACATGAGTGCCATCTGGTAGTTTTGTTGGAAAACAAAGCGCGTGGTCTGAGACGGAAGTGGGCGCCCGTCTCAGAGGTGATAAGGTGTAGAACGCAAGGCGACGGGCAGGGGCCACCACCATGTCTTCTTAGCGAAGCGTTGGAAGCACCCTTTTTTACGTGCAAGCATTGCATAATCAGCGCAGCGTGACAAGCGCTATGGTCCTTAGCGTAACTTTTTATGCCTTTTCTAGTAAAAGACGAACATGCATCACCTATACGTGTTGTTATGGTGCCTCAGACATGCACAATAATTGTTTTTTAATTGCCAATCGCACACGCATGAACGCTGATCCTTGAGAAACATTGGTGGGCGCCGCGGATAGGGTCGGCCGTTCGGGGTGTTGCCTGGTGCTATTTAGAGTACCCGGTTTACGGTAACAGTGGACAAACAGACAAAGGTACAGACAGACAGACAGACACACAAACAGACAGGCCAAATTTTTTGTGTCGGAGGTCCCCAAGAAAGACTATCTTCTTTTATAAAAAATGATCACCTACTTGCGAAAGCATCCAGCGCTGATTTTTGCCCTGAGTCGGACTGAAATTATGTATTTGATAGGCCTGCTGTCTTCTCGGCCGCCATGTTGGCCTTCCCAACTGTTGCTATCGTGTGTTGGTCATGACTATCCTGAAGCCAGAGATATACAGCGTGGCGCGGTGACGTGTCGAGACCCGCTCAAGTATTCATGTGTGCGGCGAAGCGTAAAAGCAGCCGCGCACGCTCGTCCAAGCGTACAAACAAACACCACGTCGTAATTCCTAGATCGTTGAATTCAGGCGGCCCTGGTCGAGCACTCCGAGTGCGGCGCAACCCGAACCGTCGCCAGCAAAATACAGGGAAAGACTGAGCCTGGTGAGGAGGAGGACAGATAGTGGCCATGGCAACTCTCTTCGCACTGCCCGCAATTCCCGGGCGGTTCACCCATTTGGAGTGTGTTTGGAGACTAAGTGGTTGGCACGCAGCACGCTTCCCTCTGTGGATGCTCCTCAATGGTCTATATTTTCAGCGCACACGCCTATTGAGCTCCTTTCCTCGCTTTTTGGGAAATTTTGCCTTAGAGTGTAAACTATTGCTATATATCAAATGTTTGTAACCGAAGACTCCATCTTGGGAGATGGCTTGAAGGATCTTTCAGATTCGCCAGCCAGTAGAGAGAATGGTGGTCAGTGACCATTCAGAAGGGGCGTCGGTAAATATATGGCCCCAATTCGGCATAGTCCATACAACCCCATGCCATTCATTTTCAGTCGTTGACTAGTTTTCTCTGCACATGACAGCGAGCACGGCTAGCGTATAGGCAATGACGCGAACCCCGCCATCTTGATATTGCACGAGAATTGCTTCGAAGCGAAGGTTACTCGCACTAGAGCGGACTTCTGTGTCTACTTCGACGTCAAAGTGGCTAAGGATTGGCGGTAATTGTAGGCGTTGTTGAAGGTCACGAAAATATCGGATTGTTCTGCACCCAAAACGGAGCTGTCGTTGTCATTGACGATTTGTTGTAAAGGGTCAGCAATTTAAAAAAACTGGGCAAAAACGGCGGTAATACTCACAAAGGCCCAAAAAGCGGCGTAAATCTTACGTTATCGTTGGTGTCGGGAACAAAGCAGCTGCCCTTGCCTTCACAGGGTTGGGGCGAAATTCGCTGCTCCTAAAAATAAGCAGAAACTTCAGTTCCTAGTATCCTAAATGACACTTTTTTGGTTCAAGAGACAGGCCAGGCGGCATCACTTGCAGGTGCCGCGTCACAATGCTCTCGTCGAAGGAAGTACGTGCAAGTACATGCCGTCTACCAGGAGCTGTGAGGAAGCTGCTCCTGCAAACAGCTGCGCTCGCATGTTTGTCGTCTTCATAGCTCCCGTCCAAAGCCAGACCCACGCAGAGCCACTCGATCCGGCGAACGAGTGGCTGGCACAATGCAAGCTGTGCTCACGAGTCTTTTGATGGGCTTTCAAGGCGTAGTCTCCTTTCCCATATGGCATCACCTCGGAATAACCAGGTCGAGAAGCACTTGTAACCAATTTACAGAAACCGGCGTGTGACCGGTGGCAGCGGGGCTTGAACCCTGCGACCTCCCAAAGGCCGAAGCGGGCACTTTATCTTGAGGCCAGGATATACAATGGAAAGCTAATTTAACGATGTAATGAGCATGCTAGTACGATTCATTGATAGCTTTACCTATTGCCGTTATTTATTTCATTACATAATGGGACACAAAAGAACTGCAGTTGGTTAAATCGGGAAGATCATAAAGTTGAGAAATTCTTTTGTATTTTTCACAATACCTGAAATTCTATTGTCTGAAACTATCATATAAAATTGTAACCCAGAACCTACGCTGGCAATGTTTTTGCAGTCAACCCAATCCTACAGCACGCATGTAAAACTCCCGAAGGCTATTCGAGGACAGCCAGGATATAGGCAGAGTGTTTTCACCATGCAGAGGCCAGCTGCATCCAAGCTCCCCGAGAACGCCGCACTGAGAGTCAGTACCGTCTACTCCCTCGGTGATGTCAACGATGAATTCCCGCTCAACTTGTTCCATGTTTTTGCTGAGCACGGAGCTTCCATAGTTGGCCCACACGTAGTAGCCTGCAAACGAAGCATTCCTTGTGAAATTCACAGGAACGGTGACATTAGGCAAGGCAGTTCAGAGAACAAAGAACAAGTGAGACAAAGTGTTGCAGGGATGCAAACGGCGGCTCCGGAACCGAGGAGGCTGCCACCGCCGCTCCCACAGGTTCAAAACCAGCCGAAGCACCCCCCCCCCCCTTCCCCAACTAAAAAGTTTTCAAACACGTCCCGTCCCTCGCTTTCTCCCCGCAGCGAGCCGTGCCACTAAAGACCGAAGCCAGGACCAGCGGGTAACCATCCAAGCCCCATATTCATTAGGCTACAGTGGTGCGTGTAAAATAACTACGTCAATCTCTCCATTGTCAGGCTCCTTCCTGGCGAAATTCTTACCTGTACCAGCGATTACGTGAAGGCCTGTTTCGTGCGCCACGCGGCGCATGAGGGGAATGTTGCGCCCCATTCCGCGGCAGGTATTTTCGACCAATGCGCCTCCACCATTAGACCGCAAGAAGCGCATCTCTTCCAGAATGGCTTGGTCCACGTCGGCACCATGAAATAGCAGGTTCTCTATATGGCTGTACCTGCGAACACGAAAGAACGTTTTACACGGAAAAAGAGCACGGAAGAACGATTTAAGGGCAGTGCACTGGCTGTTAAATGGAAATACGTATTACCAGAACTGCACCCACAAGCACAGTTAAGGCTTTCACTATATACATTAAGCACAATCTTTTATCCGGCACGTTTCATTTTCTGTTACTGAGCAGCAAAATTACGAGCTGATTAGCCTTTGTGCTACGACTGATTAAGGACGTTTCAATGAAAACTCACAGGCACTCCCAGCCTCAATCATGAAACGATCGAATAATTCATACCTTACAGTGATAAAATATTTTAGCGCGCACAAAAAAAAACGGACAAGAAAGAGACAGATCAGCGATTGCCCACACTTAATTATATTTGAAAGGAAGAAAACATATAGGGTCCTGCAAACCAGCTCAGCGCATGTGCTAGTCATGTAACAAGCATACATACAAATGCGTGGCAAAATAGAATAAAAAAACTATACTCTCTATCTGCTAGAGCGACTGACAGTTGACTAGTACATTTGTTTTTACACCTATTTATATCGAAGGCTTCCATCAGTTAACGTGTTTAGTTTATCTCTATGGGAAAACAAAATATGTATAGAGCGAAACACGGAATCAAAATGGCATAATTTAGAAAGATCTGACAGGTGTGAAAATGTTTCTTTTCTTAGTGAGTTAGCATGCTCTTTTAGTCATGTATCGATGCTGCCGCTAGGTTTCACAAAACTGTCGACCGGACACTGCAGAAGAATATACCGCATTGTCAGCGCGGAATCTTGGCAGCAAGTGCGTTACCGCAAGGACTGTCTGCGTGCAGCGTTCAACACACGGTGTGGTGAATCTAGCCGACGCCCATTTCTCGATTGGTGCAAAACAGCAGACAGGACTACTGAGTTCTTTCGAAACACAGTGAGGCCTGTTCTGCCCACTTCAAAGAAACAGCCTATTCACGAAGGAAGAGTGGTAAGGCTTGGGGGATACTTCATTCCTAAGACAGACTACCAGCTTCTGCCACTTGGACCCAAGTTCGCTTTGGAACCGGAGTTGGGACCACCTGCGAAGCCTTGCAGCATCGAGAGTCCTTTCCCGTCTTGTTCCTGAAGGAGAAAGAGCAAGGCTCGTTTCCGAGTGTGTATACGATATCGTGAAAGGAAAAACAGCCCGAGCAAGTCGGAATAGTTCCGATAAGCTCAACCTTATTGCAAAAGACTTGGTGTCTAGGGGGTTGCGTGTTTTAACCACTTATAAAGAAGGCTGCTTCCATAGTTTGCCTGATGGGATGTTTGGTCAGAAATCATGTGAAGCCATTTAAAAGAATTTCAAAAAGGTTAACGCAAAGCCTGCGAAAGAGAAAATGGGCGGCATTGAGCTATTTTCTTCCCTTAATTTAGAAAAGCTTTGCGATTCTGTCGAAAAATGCAGAGCCTTCATCTTGAAGTGTATTTTTTTTTTGTAAAATACACAAGCCTGGTGAGCCGTTTTGAGCCACTGTCAGTAAAAGCAACACTTGGCAGCTACAAGTAGCTTGTTTTATCCAGAAACAGCTTTCCACATTGAAAATTTCTGACCCTCTAGTAATTGGTAAATCTGAGGCGGTTGTCCAATATTTGAGAGAAGAAAACCCAAAGGGATGTGGAGCTTTCAATATTGATGTACAAGATTTATTTTACTCCATTCCGCAACCAGAGTTGTTAATAAATGTAAATTAGTGCATTTGTGAAAAGAATGATGAAATCAAGTTTAGAAATGAATGCGGAATTCTGGTGAAAAGCTTCACCGGAATACTGCTCTTATATTTGAATTTTACATATACCGGGTGAAATGAAAAAGTGTATGTCCAATATTCTGGCATTTGTATAGGTTCTAAGGTAGTCCCTTTACTCAGTAATATTTTTCTTGCAAGAGTGGGCCGCAAAATTCAGCATGCTGTTCAAGGCATCACTAAACAAATTTTCTGCGTTGTTGATAATTTTGTATTATTATTTTTGATGGAGCTGATTATGGGTTTATAGCTGTGAATGTACTGAAAGTGTTTTGTGAATGTGGTCTTGGACTTGCGTATACCCATAAGTTAGCAAAAGACAACAAGCCACAGTTTTTAGACCTATCAATAAAATTTTTTGCCTAACCACTTGTGCTGGATTACAGTCCTAGATCGGAAAAACCCCTGCTGCCTTAGGTCAGGTCATTCCAGAATTGTCAAACATTGAACAGCAGTGTCTTGTTTTCGAGGGACTATGGTAACGTCTTGCTATCACGCAATGAAACTAACCTTTTCTTTACAAGTGTTGCGGTTATCTTCACCTGGGTTCCCGGAACAGGCTATCACCAGAGCTGTTGATAAAGTTATAGGGATAGTAAAAAAAAACGTGTGGTCTTCTTCTTCAAGGAACCGCTTGAGTAAAGGTAAAAAGCAGCGCGGGGTTGTGCTATACATTCACAAGTTCTCTCATGAACGAAAAAAAAACGTTGCTGGCGGATATGGCATCGACGTTGTTTTCAGCGCCCCTATTAAAGGCGCAACATTTGCGTCAGGCCGTTGGCAAAACGTTCAAAACAGGGAACAGAAAATAAAGCTGCCATCTAAAAGAACAATTTAAGGTCATAAAACGCCAACAAAGAGTGCTTTATCTGACACCGCTAACCTGTGGAAATATAAACGTAGAACAGAATGGCTACTGCATCAATACACGACTAAAAGAACATGCTGACTCACTGGGAAAAGAAACATTTTTACACTTGTCAGATCATTGTAAATAATGCCATTGTGTTCCTGTGTTTTGCACTACACATATTTTGTTCTCACATAGAGAGAAACTCGCACGTTAACTGACGGAAGCCTTCTATATAAATAGGTGTAAAAACAATTATATTAGTCAACTATCGGTGGCGCTAACAGATAGAGAGTATAGTTTTTTAAAATTTCATTTAGCCAACTTTTTGTATGTTTACCTATCACATGACTTGCACATGCGCTGTGCTGTTTTCAGGACCCTATATGTTTTCTTCCTTTCAAACATAAGCTAGTTGTGAGCTAGCGCCCCTCTGTCTCTTTCTTGTCTGGTTTTTTGTGCGTGCTAAAAAAGTTGTATCATAGATACATACCAACTCGCCCAGCTATCTGTTTTACTGTTATACCTTACAGTCCTCAATAAATCGCAGTGTGGTGGCTGCTTAATAATATCACGACATCATGACAGTTGCCACATCGTATTAAGACTCGACACTGCAGCGATTAGGGACAGCGACAACTCTGGAGAGTGATCAATCGCCTCAACCACACACTCAAATTTCATTTATTTATTCACATACCATAAAAGCCGAGCAGGATGTTTTGGTATGTGTGGGGGGGGGGGGGTAACATTGATTGGGGCAAACAATACACACATCATTAAACAATATACTACAAATACATGAACAGTACACAAAACACTAAACAATACAATATAAATACATGAACATGGTAAGACAAAACAAAAACATGTTAAGGTTAAACAACGCCTAAAGAAAAGCAATCATAACAAGAAAAGCAACCGCAATTCTAACACCTAACAATAGATATTATTTTATTCAGAGGGAAACCTGTTTGCATGAATGAAAAAAAACTGTTTAGTGATAAGGATGCCAAGGAGCATAGAGTTTGGCGGACAAATATTAAACTTCTAAATCGAAATAAAAACAATGAAAAGCTCGAAACTAATGAGAATGGAAAGCAGCTTAAGGGCTTTGAACAAAGAAATCGATTCAATTAACCATTTACAAGTTTAGAAACGAGCGCTAACAGTACAGACCTCTGAATTACGTCGGAGCGCCCAATGCACACATGGCTTATTTTGAGCCCACGACACCTATTTAAGTTTACTCTGCTTTCGATTACAAGACGAAGTTTAAGTGTTGCTGTAGCTGAGTGTTTGCCGTTCATCTTCAGAGTTTTCACCTATTTTCGCACTTATACGGGGAACATAGTTCCATTTTTAGCGGCGACGGAAGTGGACTTATCTGCATGCCCTCCCGATTTGCCGGCGACAGCACCGGTAGCCTCAAGGAAGCGAAACTGCCTTTCTAGTGACAGCGAGGCTACCCTCATTGACACTGCCGAGAGCGCCGACAGCTCCGACGACGAATACGTGACCGTCATGAGTCAGAAAGCAAAGCGGAGGATGCTCAGGGCATCCACGGACGCATCTGCTGTGAGGACCTCGCAAAGCCCGCCGAGGTACGCCATCCTATTCTTGTCTACGCAACCATCTATCAACATGAGACTACTGAACAGGCAAGCTGTATCTTCAGAGCTCGAGGCACTGTTGCCGAACAGTATTAAGAATATCAGAGTAAATCCCCGGAAAAATGTAGCAGTGGACGTCGCTCAAGCGTCAGCGTCAGATTCACTGAGCAAACTCACCATCCTCGGTGGAATGAATGTTCACACTATCATTCCGCTAAGAAATCAGGCAACTACAGGAGTCATATATGACATTGATGTGACCATCTCTAACGAAGTTCTGCCGATTCTTATTAAGCCTGCTAATGATGGGCCCCAAATACTACAGGTGTGCCATCTAGAAGAGTCGAGATGTGTGAAGGTAGACTTTAAGAGTGATTGCCTGCCGACACATGTTAACGTGGGTCATTTCCGACATGCTGTGCGGCTATTTGTTCTTAAGCCGCTCCAGTGCCGAAAATGTCAGAACTTAGGTCATGTGAGCGCCGCCCGTTGAAATCCTACAACATGTTCTCGATGTGGTGCACCACACTCTGCCGACAACTGTAAGGCTAATTATTATATTTGCCCGAATTGCCAAGGACCCCAAGACGCCACATTAAAAGAGTGTCCGAAAATAAGGCAGGAGATTTCGGTTTTGAAGAAAATGGTGAGGGACTGTTCGACTCACTGAGAAACGGTTGCTGTCCTCAGGCGATATCGTTCTCGTCGCAGACGCTCATCTAGAAAGCCTGCCCACAGTATCAAGCCTTCTGTAAAGCCCCCTTTC